ATTCTAGAATAATATTTACGAGCTTATTATAACTATCTATAGAACGATTAGACCGAATAGTTATCTATAGTAGAATACGTAGCTAATATATATATTTTAGAGACTACTTAAGTATTACTATTCTATACTAACTACGAACTCTAATCGAGATTTAGTATTAAATCTTCTAGTATAAAACCCTAATTAATATTAAAAGGATTATTCGACGCTTATTAGGTAGATAAATTCGCTAAATAGATAATAAAGATTTATAACGAACTTCGAGACGAAATAATATATACTTAAGCGACTTATAAGAAATAGACGTAGTATCGTGTAGCTTTACTATTATATTAAGTAGAAGACTTGGTTTAGTTAAATGCTTAGAATATATATACGTAACGTCTATTAAAGAAGCTAGATATTAAGAACCTAGATCTATTTAAAGTAAGCGAAGTAGTAAACTTACGCGCCTATCGTCTTAATCTACCTAAGTCTATAAAGATTTATAATATATTCTATATATCTTTACTTTACCCCGTAGCTACGGACGCTTTATCTAGATAGATTTAACCTTCGCTATCTCTAATTATTATCGAAACTAATAGTAGTATAGAGGAATTATACGAAGAATACTACGAAGTAGAAGATATATAAAACTTACGCTATTTCGGACGAAATAAACGACTTTAATATCTTATAAAATAGAAAGGTTACGGAGAAGACTAGAGAGATTAGAAAGACGTATTACCTAGAAGTAATAAAGTAGTTTAAGGTTTCTACGTACGTTATCCTAATAAACTAGGACTACCTACCGGATATAAGTTCGAGATAGAACTAGCTAAGAAACTATAGCCTAGTCGGAGATCTTAGAGAGTTAAAAAGCCATTACGAAAGATAAGAGATTCCTAATTACTATTAAAGATAATACTCGACTATTATATCGCGAGTAGAACTCTTATCTCTATTTATAACGGCCTTCCTAGTATATTTATACTAACTAAGTCTTTAAAGTTACTTTACATTTTCTAGTTAATAGCCGTAAGAGAGATAGGATTATTCGAAAGATTAGTAAGTCTTATTATCGATAGTAAATAGGATTTAATTACCGAAATTGTTAGAAGAGTTATCTAGTTAAAGAGTATAAAATAGCTTAAGAGATCTCGTATCGATTTGAGGGGGGGTGATATCACGGGGTTAACCTAGTATATATATAACTACTAGCTACGTAATCTTTAGAGCACGTAACTAGTGCTAAGACCTAAGTCGGTACGCAGGCAGTATATCTACCTCGTGCCTCCTGCTCAACTCGTTCATAGTCTTTATACTGCAATTCATCAATTTAACGCCTTTAAGGTCCGTGATATTAGGATAGATAAGAGACTTTAAGAAATTAGAGTAATTCTATTAGACCGTACTAAGACGCCGTTATACGAGATACCCCTATTCTATCCTATATCGAGTTACTCGAATCTATACCGATAGATATCGAGACCTATCCTATCGATATCGTAGGGTATATAGACAATATAGTAGATCTATCCTATATAAATTATATAGAGAATAGCTATAATAAGTTAGCTAAAACTATCTCGAGTAAGGAAGAGCTATACGTCGTTAGTAGATTAAATTAACCTAAAGATATAAGACTATAAGACCTTATAGACTAGAATATATCTATATTCTTCTTCTCGATACCTACTAATACTATAGAAAGTATATCTACGATATTTTCTAGTTCTACTAGAATAACTCTTTTAATACCCGAAGGGAATCTCGTCCCTTAAGAATACTCGAAATCTCGTAAGAAGCGGAAACGAGATAATTTATTATTCTCGTTAATATTCTAAAATATTAACTATAATATAGTCGAGCCTTTAGTTCCTTATCGACGATATATTAAAGAATATTTACTAAGACCCTATTCTAGGCTAAATATAGTATAAGACTAAATAATCTAATAACGATAGTATTCTCTATAGATAATCTATAGAAACTAGAGTATAGACTAGATCTTAACTCTTAGCTAAGCGTTATCGGGACGTCCTACGAAGCGCTCTAGATATATTAAAAAAACCTAAAAATAACTAATAAATTATAGTAAATCGCCTTATATAGTAGGCGTAGAAGAATCTCGCTTACGCTTCCCTACTCGTTATATCGTACTAGAAGATTTATCTATAAAATAGACTATTCGTAGAGTATCGTCTACTATCGTAGTAGTATAAGAAAATAGTAATACTTCGCGATCTTCTTACTATAATATCGTCGGAGCTAGTTCTAGTAGTAGTATTCCTATCGGCGCCGTCGTTTTATAATAAGAATACTCTAAAAGACCTAAACTAGAAGTAGGACTCGATTACTATATATAGGTAGATAGCGGATAAATATTATATATAGAATAAGTAGAAGTAGTAGGCTATCCGTACGCTAGATAATAAAAAGATAGACGTTCTAGTATCGAGTAAGTCGATATATAGTCTTATATAGACTATATTAATAAACCTATAGAAGACGAGACTAGTACGAATTATTACTATATTATAATCTAACTACGCTTAGGGTTATATACTAGCTTAGGAGGCGTAGGTACGTATTATATAGTCTCTTTAGTATAACGATATATTTCCGATATACGTCTAGGTAAACTTTATATCTATAATAATAGCTTAAGAGAAGAATCGTTAGTATACTAACGATATCTTAGTAGTAGCTCGTTAGCTATATAGTCGTATTCTTCCGACTTTAGACTAGTCTTAACGACTTCTATTCTTACTAAAGATATAGATATTATAGAACGACGATTTTATCGAGTTAGCGTTAGTAGAGAATATTACTCTATACGTATATCGGATTTATCGATTCTATAAATAACTTTAATAGTTTTCGGCGTATAGTATAGATCTAAAGTCTACTACGTTACCTTCTAGATAGCGATTAATATCTTTCGACGTCGATCTTCTATATCCGTTTATAACGATAATACGAAGTCGAATCTATTCTCTAGACCTTTAATCTCGATAGCTATATAACTACTTATCTCTCTAGTCTCGTCGGCTATATATAGACTACTTATTCTCTCGCTAAAATATATCTCTTTTATATCTTTTACTAGATTTTCTTTCTATATTTTAGGGGATTAAGTACGATATTTCTTAGTACTACGCGTTTAAATAGACGTTAATATCGATATAGTAGACTAACGACGACTAGAAGCTTCGCTACTTATACCTTAATTACTAGATAAAGAATAATCGACTTCGCGAATAGTATAAGTTATATATTTTTCGCCGAAAAGATATACTATATTTATAGAAGTAGGCGAATTCGAGATAGATATCGAAACGTACTCTAGGAATACCGACTCTTAATAAGAATCTAGTTTAACTATACGAAGATATATTTTATAGCGTAGATTATTTATAATATTTACTATATACTCTACTATAGCGTTTCTAACGTTTATATTAGTAATATCTCTTTAACTATAAAATTCGATTAGTCTTTAAGGGATACGGCTATATAGCTAAACCGATAAGCTATTATTAGAAGAAAAGAATTACTCTTAGTACTATCTCGCCTAGGTAATAGAGTTAACTAACGTATTATTAGACTTAACGCTATAAAGTCTATCGTTAATCTAGAAATAAATTAATAACTATACTATACGATAGAGTTTAAGTATACTTACGAAGAAAGCTATTTTCGCGGCTTTAGTTACTAGTAGACCTTTAATTATCTTCTTAACTTAGCGATAGTAAGAGATACTTAGAACTTATAGTCTAGTCGACGTTCTAACTTATTATAGTAGTATAGTAACGGTAATAGAAGTTATAGAAGAGTTAGCTTTAATCGATAAAAGACTTAGGACTTAGGAATATAAATAACTAAAAGAAGGTATAAAAGAAAGTAAGAAAGAAGAGAGTAAGAGACGACTACTTATACTTCTCGAGACCCCTTCGGATTAATCTCGGGCTAGCTTCGAAGAGTAACGGCGAGTACTATTACGCGGACTAAATCTCTTTACTTATCGTTTTAACGATCTTAATTTACTCTCAATTTACTTCTCTTTACCCTTTCGGGCGTATATACTACTCTTATAGCTAATAATAAGAGATATATACTCGCTCTAAGTACCTCGAAGGGTATCGAAGGTATAGATACTATAGATATCTATTCTAATAATAGGCTATTTAGGAAACGGAATATTTAGAATATAGAGATACTATTTATTTTCTTCTATAAGGCTAACTAGGATACTCGATATCCTTCGGCGACGAATAAGACTATTTAATAGTCTAAATAGAGAAGGATATAATATAATAGGTACCCTTAGATACTAAGTATTATAAAGACGTCGAGGACCGTCTTTCGGTCTCGACTAGCGTCGTACGCTATCGTACAACCCCTAGAAAGTATATAGTCTAACGAGGCCCTAGGCCCCGTTAAAACAGGACAAGTCCTCCGTGAAATCACACGTGCCGCTTTTACTGTATAACCACCGGCACTCACCCTCCCTCTCACCTCTCGGTCATGTTGGTGTCCTGACATTAATAATTCAAACACATCGATCGTGTCAGTATGTCAGTACGGCAGTCAAATGACTAGACAACCATGTAGTCAATTCCTTGACTCCTAGATACTTGATAAAAACCTATCAACTAGTGGCCACCGAAACACGCCGCTTGACAACTTCATTATATAAGACCCCCAATCGACATGTACCTTCCCAGCGGGAAACGTGCCTCGAGTGAGGAGAATATCGGTGGAGCTGCCGTGTACAGGTCAGTCGATTTAGGAACATTACAGTATACTTTGGGTCCTGAACCCGTGTAAACATTGGTGCCACCAGATCCTAAGTCTGGTGCTCGAATCTGGCTGAAGCTCTTCGGCCAGAATTGAGCCGAAAACTTTGGACGGCGGGTCCCCCCGACGCCTCGAAACTCCAATTCAGCGTGTTTTAAGAATGACGGCCTGAAGATGACAGACACTTACCCTCATCGTCCTGCGCAGAAGACCTGATGTATGACATGGCTCGAGGTTCGGCGATGCAAGACAAGCAGGAGCAAGAGGTAACGTAGGAATATTCAATGTAGATGGTTTCTGCGAACTGACCGTGCAAGTAGGTCGTCAAGAGTCTCACGGCCAACTGGGTTTGGCCTGCCAATTGGGTTGACTCATCTGAAAGGAACACTGCTGGACGCATTGTCGAGTTCACACGACAATTTGACCTCGCATACAACCCTGACCGAGCTCTTTTGTACTGTTCCGCCGATACGCGATACAAACTATACGTGAATGGCGCACGGGTCGCCGTGGGGCCCAGCAGAGGGTGTTGTTCGATCTGGTACTATGACACTGTCGACATCCAGCCATACCTCCACCTGGGCGAGAACCAGATACAATTCGTCGTTCTACGATATTTTGCATCGTCACGGGCAGCCATGCCTTTCGAGCGAACGGCATTTCCAGGTGTGTCGATCTACGGCAGGATCCAGGCTGGCAAACAGGCAGTGGACCTGGACACCCCAGGAGAATGGAGAGCTCAAATCAACGACAGCATCCTCTTCCCGACTGGATTGATCGACGACGTCTTTTTGCATGTAGGTGTCGGAGACAGACCTCTCAATGGATGTGCTTTTGACATCTCTGACAGATCAATGAACGCGTCAGCCCAACTGGTCCTCCCGAGTCGGTCAAGCCTAAAGCATATGGATTTAAGACCCTCAATGGCGAACTAAGCCCCTGGCGACTACGTCCACGCTCCATTCCGATGCCAGAAGAGACCATTGTTGCGGTGGACACCATCAGGGCTTGCCACAGCCCCCTCGCGACCGACGACTGGGCCAAGTATCTTTCCGCGAGCAAGCCCATCACACTCCCGGCTGGCTCCTCGCACACTCTGGAACTACAAGCTGAAGTACACTCAACAGCCTTTCTGCGATGGACATTTTACGCCCAGCAATCCTCCCAGATAAAGCTGAAAATTATGTATTCCGAGGGATATGAGCACGAGCCACGCTCCTATCCCTTCTTTCGCACAAAATCTGATCGACTTGACGCTACTGAAGGTCATCTTATTGGGCCTTTCGATGAGGTAATTCTGGACGTCCCAGTAGGCCAAAGGGTCACCTATGAGCCTTTCTGGTTCAGAACCTTTCGGATCATACGTCTAAACGTTGTGGTCGGCTCAGCCGCAGTGTCAATGGAGTCATTTCTGGCGAAGCAAGTCAACTATCCTCTCAATGTCAAGGCCAGCTGGCGCGACGCTCAGGATGCCGACAGCTGTAAAATTTGGGATGTCTCCATCAGAACCCTGCGGAACTGCATGTTTGATGCGTATGTTGACTGTCCGTTCTATGAGCAGCTTCAGTGAGTTCGATCAGCCACTGTCGGCTGCACCGCAACTGACAATGAGACCGCAGGTATTCGGGCGACAGTCGTCTGACCGGCTTGTTCCATTATTTGCTCTCGGGGGATGACAGGCTCATGCGCCAAACAATTACGAACTTTGCCGCATCCATCACCCCCGAGGGTATGACACAGTCTCGCTTCCCCTCTCATGTGCCACAAATCATTGCAGGCTTTTCGCTCTTCTGGGTCCTGCAAGTATGCGATCACTACCTCTTCTTCGGCGACACCAAATACACACGCTCGTTCCTTCCCCGCATCGATGGAATCTTGGAGTTTTTTGACAGCCATGTTGACGAAGACGGTCTGATTGGAGGATTGCCGAAAGATATGTGGCAGTACGTTGACTGGGTGACATCGTGGGGTGCAACAGATGAGCATGAAGATAAAGGCGTGCCTACATCAGGCAGGACCACTAACCGTCACACATATTTCAGTCTCCTGTACGCCTATGTTCTGAAACAAGCAGCATGGTTGGTCCGCGAAGTCAATCGACCAGGCTATGCCCTTGAATTCGAAACACGAGCAGAGAGTATGATTGAAGCCGTCCGAAAGCACTGCTATGACGGACGCTTTTTCACCGACTCGACTGCTGATGTCGCACGCGAGGACGCTTATTCTCAACATTGTCAAGTCTTTGCCGTCTTGTCGGGTGCGGTGCCTGAGTCCGAACGCACTCGGTTATTGCAGGAATCCTTCGCACGGCCCGACTTTTCCGAATGCTCCTACGTGATGAAGTTTTATGCCTTAAGAGCATTTGCCCTCGCCGGAGAAGAAGCATACGCATCGTTCTGGACTCGAGTATGGGACCCTTGGAGAAAGATGCTCAGGAATAATCTGTCAACCTGGGAGGAGGACGATGTGCGGCAACGCTCAGACTGTCACGCGTGGGGCAGCGTTCCAATCTACGAATATTGCACCGAGTTGGCAGGGGTTCAGCCAGTTGCCCCGGGTTGCAAGAAGATTCTATTCAAACCTCGGCTCCACTTGAGCAAGGAAATCGACGCCGAAATGGCGTTGGGCAGCGACAATGTTGCGAAGGTGTCGTGGACTTCGGGCGAAGATGGTCACAAGCATGTCAAGTTACGACTAGCTAGGGCAGTCGAAGTGGTCAGTGTACTTCCAGGAGGCGCGCGGCGATCCCATGGGGTGACAGACAATCTCGAGCTAGATTTCGCGCCTCACCCACATCTCTAGCCGGAGTGTCACACAATATAGCGACCAGAGTCTGGACCATGGTGGATATGCTGGTATTTGGGTCTCTGTCCACTGTAAACGACTCTGGAGCCTGAGTCAACGATATGTGGTACGAAAATGCCGAAGTCCATATTCAATGTTCTACAAGTAAGTTTTACTTTGCAGCGAACACTGGGTGAACGACGTAGAGATTGGCAATAATTTCGGCCAGCATACAGGGTGAGTCTCGACCTATTGGTACGGGGACAATTGTGCCGAGAGCGAAGTCGTGCAAGTTGGGAGGGATCAACTGCTTCGTGGGTGACGCTCGTACTCCAGCAGGCACTTCCGAGATGCCTGGTACCTCGTATGAGTACTGCAAACGGTGGGTGTGGATTTCCCACCCTCCAGCTTGGGACTGATAGCGTTCAAGAACTTGCGCGATCACTTTGTCATTAGGAGAAAACGCTCGTGCTGTCGTGACGCGATCGCGGCCTTTTGCTAACATGTACATGGAGATTGCAAACGTTACAAGTGTAGTACTGCGCTCTATCGCAGGCTTCCCGTGTGGTCGACCTGTTTCTACCCTACAAAGGGGGAAACAATTATGATGTTGGGGCTGCTGCATACTTGATGACGACTGAGCGACGGTTGTCTAGAGCTGTGATTGACGGAAAGCAAACAAGACTTGATCTATCAAAAAAGTGAGTTTGCATCAGTCAATTGAAAGGACCGCGACTATGTTGAAGTCCGCATACAGCGACTGACAACGTGAGCCTCCTGGAGATGCACGACCCACAGCCAGCCACGCAGCGACCGAAACCTTCTCAGGCCAGCGGCAACCAAGTATCGCAGGATGTGCATGGCGCTGGAAGCAAGCGGCCGCGGTGGAATCTTACAGCGAAGTCCGCTCTCACCAGACATGTTCGGTTGAATATGCGCCGTGGCTCAGAGCCAGCCTCAGGGGACCTTGCAGTGGTTCGGGACAAGTGCTGAAGGCTCAAATTGCGGGGTCTCCACACCGATCAAAGACCAGGTTTCCTATCATTCCTGGAGTATAAGGTCAGACTCTCATGCTCCGCGGGGATCTTGGCCAGCACCCAGCGCATCAGCCTACACTGTCAGTCGATTTGGAGAGTAGCCCTTCAGTTGTACATTGCATCTTCCTTCACTCGTGCCATGATGCCGCATTCACGTCCAGAATCTACATCGGAGGGTGATGGCAACATGAGTTTCACGAAGGCAGGGAAGGCGGTTGAACACATCGATGTCAGCGAGTCACACAAGGTTGAAGGACCCGCGATGCGCTCTCGTATGGATGACCTGTCCATCTGGGAGTCGGTCAAGGTATACAAGCTGGTGACGGCCGTAGCGATGGCCGCAGCATTCAGTGCCTCTCTAGACGGCTACCGTACGTTCCATGGAGCCCATTGCACATGCGACGGGACTGTGCTGAGTACTAAATTGAATAGAAATCAGTCTCAATGCTGGTATCGTGTCCAACAAGGGTTTCATTCGACAGATGGCAGGCCCCGGCACCAAAGTCATCCCGGGCAAATATGTCTCAGCCTGGGGTGGGATCCAATCTGCCGGGCAAACCCTTGGTCAGATGGTAAGCGCCATTCATTCACTGGGTGGCTTGGGGCTGGGATATCTGACAGCCATTCTTAGACTCTCCGGTTTGCAACGGATGGATTGGGCCGCAAGCCTGCACTTCTCATTCTTTGGGTGTTCCTCATGGCGGTGAGTATCTTGCCGTTGACTCCTTGTGATCAGTCGCGCGCGCTCTGTCCAGCGTGAGCACGATGTTGATACCTTATATCTCTAGAGCATCTTTGCAGAGTCTTTTGCAACCCGCTGGGACCACTGGCTTGTGGCCAAGCTTTTTTCGGGAGCTGGAGTGGGCATGTTGCAAGCTACCGTGCCTGTGTATCTCTCTGAGATTGCTCCAACGCAGCTGAGGGGCTTTCTCATCAATGCATACAGCTTGTGAGTATTCACAGCGCGCATCGCCTCGGTGCAGCGCTATATCTCACTTGTCTGACTGATGACTGGTAGTTGGTTCATCATTGGGCAACTTCTCGGATCGGTGGCACTCAACAGTCTCAACGCAGTTGATCCTCATGACTTCCGGACACCGATCTACACTCAGGCAGGTCAACTCTCCTGGCGGGGCCGCCATTGTACGACTCGAGTAGTATGTCACTGACATGTGCTGCAGTGGGCGATGATTGGTGGTATGCTTTTGGTGTTTCTTCTAGTTCCGGAGTCCCCTTGGTGGCTTGCCGGTAGAGAAAAGCTTGACAAAGCATCGAAAATCTTGTCAAGATTCAACGGCCATATCGAAGGCTATGATGTACAAGAGGTCATAGTGAGTTCATCTGGCTCGAGATCATTCCCATCTTCGGCAGCTCACATGGGCATTTTCAGAGTGTTATGACTGCGACCATCGAGACGGAGCGTGTCATCGCGAAACGAGATTCCCAGCAAGGGCTCTGGTCCGTTTTCCAAGGGCGTAACCTCATCCGATTCTTCATTGCGGCTTGGCCCAAGATCACCCAGCAGTTTGTTGGTTTGAGCGTCTTCAACACATTTTCCACGTATTTCTGTAAGCCCTCTCTCTCTCCATACTTGCGGTATTGATCAGTCGCTCTAACGCTTCGCCTCTACTTAAGTCCAAGCTGCCGGCAACAAAAATCCTTTTCTTGTCACCGTCATTCTATGTTGCGCCCAGATCCTGTCGATGATCTTCACGGCCACACTGACCGACAAAGTTGGTCGTCGACCACTCACGGTCTATCCTTATGCAGTAACAGTCGTATCTGTACTTTGCCTAGGCATCATTGGATGCTTTGACTACACCTCAAAAACACTAGGCTCTCTCCTGGTTGGTCGACTCACAAGCGCTCGTGTTCGGAGTCTGACTGTGACTTCTAGGTCTTCTTTGCGTGTCTGGCTACGTTCTCTACTACGGGGGCATCCGCCATCGGATATGCTTATGCTGCGGAAATCCCTCAACAACGACTACGTGCGCAGACAGCCGGCTGGGCATTGGCCCTTTCCAACATGATCGCCACCATGTTCAGCTTCTGCACACCTCTGATGATCAACGGTGACGCACACTGGGGCCCTAAAACCGGATTCTTGTAAGATTCTTGGGTCCTCATTTCGTGATGCAGTCCAGCACCCTGACCCCTCGCCTCTATAGCTTCGCTGCAGCCGGCGCCATTGCCGTCGTCGTCGCCTGGTTTATGCTCCCAGAAGTGACTCGGCGTACACCTGCAGAAATTGACGAGATGTATGTTGAATCTTTTATCACCACATCCCCTCCGGCTGTTGCCTTACTAATGCGTTTCGTCATTTAGGTTTGAGGACAAGGTCAATCCTCGTAAGTTTAGAAAGCATGTGACAAAAGTACAGATCAATTCGGGACAACAGAACGACAAGGAGAATTCCGTCTATACAGCCTAGTCAAATATTATCTCGTTTCTTCTGGTCCACGGAAGACTCCTACGCTCCTTACCAAGGGCTTCTCGAGGCGTATTTCACTCAGCATACGGAGCATCCAGCACTTTAGGCGGCGTCACCAAATTTCCGCTGTAGGGGCTAGTTGCGAGCTGACCGTGGGCGAAGAAAGCGGTTATCAATGTACGCAAGGGAATATTCACAAGCGTCACTGATGCTAGGAATGCAGCTGGTACACAAGACTTGTGTAGAAGCAAGTGAAAGGACCATTTTATCATCGTACCAATTTCGTATCAGTGTTTTCTACCTCGACTTATTCCCTTCAGAACCTTCGCTCCTCTTGCTATCATCAAACATTCCACCACAGAACTGTCGAGAGGGACAGGCTCTGTGACAAAAGGGCTCAATCAAGGGAATTCATGGCTTTCCGGTTTGGTGACGCGGCCAATGTAATCCAGACATGAAGCATCTGGTTTGTGTTGATGCTGTCTGTCCTTCGAACTGGTATGCTTCCTGGGTCTCGAGCAACAGAGCCCAAACATCATTCTTTATATGGAGATAGCTGTTCAGAAGAGGACTTGATTATGGTGGGTTCCTGGGCTTGGTCAACAGGTCCCGTGAACGAGAGTTGGAGAGCGGCGCGTTGAGATATGATTAGTCGGTAACAATTTTCAACTGTGGCCCACAGTTCGTTTCGAGCAGCCTATATAAGATGTTGTCATTTCCTGTTGATTATTCCGAGGCTTGGGTAGCCAGCTTTGGATACCGACAGCCCAGGTGCCATGTCATCAGTGTCCTCAGAAAATGAGCGAGTCCTCGGAACCGGCTTGTGTAGTAACATGGCTGGTCTTCATTTTCCTGATCTTCGCAGATACCGTATTATGTGAAGTAATGAGTGGATAAGAGAATTCTTGTAGGCTCGATTTATCTGATAGACACGTTTTGCGTGTGACGATCCTGAGCTGTTGCGTTCAGAAGGTCTAATACCTCTGGAACCGATTGCTGCCAAGTTATCAAGTCCTTGGACCAGGCGGCAAATGGGTGCGCAGTCTCGCTCTTTCTTGTGCGGTCGCTCGCTCGAAATCCGTGCATGTCTCCCATCTCGATTCATTATGTGCTGATATGTTCATGCCATGCCCGTCAATTTCCAATTTTCGGCCATTCGCCCGAATAACCTGCATTAGCACGCTTTCAGGTTCGAGCAAAGGTCAGCTGGAGGCGGGCCACATGGGCGAGTTTTGCACTTCTACAACCGTTCTCATCGGTGATTGATCCACGTTGCACCCAGTATTCGGGCTGCTTTCGTGTTCGTTATTGAAACATTCCACTCAGCTCACAATGCGGAGAGAGAGAGAGCGAGGGCGACAGCGCTGAGAAACGTGTGGGAACATCGGGTGTTGGTGAAAGCGGCGAAGGTACAACCTCATTATATTGGGGCCTTGGGCGTAAGCGGGCCTAAGCTGTATAGTGTTGATAAGTGTTCAACTAACCGTGCCAAGGACCTCGTCAGGGGGACCCACCCCTCCTTCCGAGTTTGGCGGCCGCGTTTACGCGGCGCTACACTTACTCTACGAGCAAGTGCCTATCGGCAACTACGTCAGGTTACCAAGTACGTCGCGTTTTTATAGATATTGTAGATATTCTAGAAATCCTTAATTTTTCACAAATATAACGCGTTTTTTATACCGTAAATTTATCGAATACGCCGTAAAGATAGAGGATGACCGCTCGTAACGCGTAAAAGACGCTATAGAATAGATTCTAGCCCATCCTAGCGCCTCGATATCTAAAGTCGCGCGTGAATTCGATATACCGAGAACGACGTTATCGGGTCGACTAAAAGGAGTACGAGATATCGAGAATAACGGCGGCCATAACAAAGCGCTCTCGAACGCGTAGAAACTCGCTCTCTATTAAGTAATTAATAGGCTCTATCGACACGGTATTCCTACGAAGCCGCGAATAGTTAGATCGATTACGCAGAATATTCTTAATAAGTCGCGTACTAAGATCGATACTGAAGTTTATAGACTAGGAGATAGATAGTAATATCGATTTCTTTAGCGTTATCCTAAATATACTATAAAGATAGGTCGACCTCTTACCGTCGAGCGCAGGCGCGCGTACGATCCTAAAACCCTAAGAGGCTAGTTTCGTAAGTTAGTAGATATACGAGTCGAATACGGTATTCTAGACTATAATATATATAACGTCGATTAAACAGGGTTTAGAATAGGCTACGGCAAACCGTACAAAATCGTCGCTAGAGGAGACGAATACGTACGGCTTTTCGTACCTAGCCCTAACAATCGAGAGACGTTAACGTTAACTAAGTATATCTATAGTAACGGTACTGTAATTTAACCCTAGGTTATTATATAGACGGCGACGATTCTCGAGAAGTATATCTTACTAAATCTTTATTTAGAGATCCTCTTATACGCGTCCGAGATAGAATATTCGAGCGTCGAGCTTACGTTCGAGTAACTAAAGCACTTTAATAGATTAACTGCGCGTAGAACGCGAGGCCTCTATTAACTTCTCCTCCTCGACGGGTTTATAGAGTACCTTAAGTTCGGCTTCGTTAGTTACTATTAGGATTATAAGATTATATCTTTTTTACTTCCTACGTATATCTCGTACTTTTACTAGTCTCTCGACGTTATCTGTTTTTAGCCGTATAAATACTAGTATAGCGAGTATATCGATAGAGCGATACGATACGGCGCCGAGGAGTTCGATAAATTAGATTTTCTATTAAATCTTATAGAGATAAGAAATAAGACTTTTAAGAGATCGATAATCTATAGCGCTTAGAAGAAAATAGGTATTATACCGTTTGATCCGTCATAAGTGATCCAAAAGGCACAAGAGCAGTGGCTACGACAACAGAATACACGAATTACGCACCTATCGAGAGACAACTACTGCGACTACAACACTCCTAATAACGAGACCTATAACGAGCGTATAGCGCGTGAAGCGCGTGATGACAGTGATGACAGTGATAATAGTTGACGTATAGGTTCTCGTACTCCTACTCCTCCTCCTCCGCCTACGCTCGATACAGTTACTCTTACTCTCACGGCTCGAGCAAGAGAGGCGTTTTGAAAGAGTAAATTGTTGTACGAAGGACTACAAGAGAGTTAAGAGCGCTCGGTTGGTAGAGGTACCAGACCGAGGCTCGCGGGCGCGCCAAGCCTAATTAACAAATGGGGCTTAGCGCCAGCTAGGTCACGTGCTAAGTAATTATATACTAGTTATGTAACCATATCTAGGCCTTATTCCGTAATATTACCCCCCCTAAAGTTCTGGCGAGGTCCCTTAAGTTCGAATAACTTAATACTCTTTGTACCCAATTTTGGCTATAAACGCTATCTCCGCGCTCCTAAAGGCTTCTTCTATTACTATATCTCTCCTTAATAGTATAAATCTTCTAGTTACTAGTATATTTAGCTCGAATACTAACCTTTTAGTTAGTTATTATTAAGTTACTACGACTATTAACTAGAAGGTATAGAGTAACTTTAATAACTTAGTTAGTATAGTATACTAGGAAGGCCCTTATAGTCGACTCGTTATTAGTCTACTCGTAATATAGCAACGGCTAACACTAGTTAACTATATTTATTAGCCTCTCTTAATCGTCGTATTAGTCGTCTTATCCGATACGATCGGCGTCTTTCGTCTTTAGTAGATTAGCCTATCGGTCGTTCCGCTACTACTAGCTCGTCTAACTCTAGAGGCGATAGCTGCGTTAGTTCCGCCGGTCTAGGTATTTTATCCTCGTGTAAGACTAGGGCGTTATTTAGCTCGGAAGGTATTAGTAGTTATATTAGTTCTACGTATATAGATATTTTATCTACGTCAGGAAGTAGAAAGTTACAATTATTCGGAGGCCCTAGCCGCTAGGGATTTTCTCTATAGAATCTTTATACTAACTCGTCCGACCTCAGTAGTATATCTATCTAGTTTCTCTAATCCTCTCTATCTCTCTTCTACTATACGAGGTACTAGATCTAGCGATTCCTTTCGTAATATCTCGAGTCTAGGATAAATTCTACTTCGTATTCTAGCTCCGCTATATCGTCTCGTACTACTATCTTCGGTAGTAGTAGTAGTAGCGTTTATTCTAGTACGGTATCTTCTAAAGCCGAATATAATAGAGAAGTATAAAAGATATTATAGATCTTCTAGGCTGCGGGGAGTGCTAGTCGATATACTCGTAAGTTTACCACTTTCGTAATCTTAAATAGTCCGTAATTCTTAAGATCTAGTTTCTTAGACGGTCGGTTCGTTCTTAAGTTACGTACGTCTAACTATACTATATTATCGATTTAATAAGTAGAGGAAGAATATCGCCTACTTATCTTTCGTTCGTAATCTACCTAAGCTATAGTTATCTCGAACTGTACTTAATTATAAATCTCGGAGATTCGTATAACGAATTCGTTTACTATCTACCTATCGAGTATTACGCCGGTGGATATTAGAGGTCCTTATACTACGTTCCTAGACTCTACTCCTAATCGAGGATAGTAGCTATAGTTAGCGAAGAATAGGGATATCTTCGTTATATTCGATATATAATAGTTAATTACGTACTCGGCTACTAGTAACTAATCTACCTAGTCGGTCTAGAGATAGTTATAATAAGCTCGTAAGTATTATTCTAGAATCTAGTTAGAGTTTTCGAATTAACTATCGATTTTAGGGTAGTAGGCGCTAGATAGGCGCTATTTAATCTATAGTACTCGATATATTTATTTCTAAAACTTCGATATAAACTATAGTTCTCGATCTAATATTATTATATCTAGTAATCCGTAGTAACTAAATATATAGCGAAGGAATAGTCGAGCTACCTTAGGGGCGCTTATATCGGCATAGGGAATATAGTAACGCTGTTTCGAGAGTCGATCCGTTACTACTATAATATTTCGGTAGGCTATATTATTAGTAGAGCTTTTACTCTCGGGTAGGTCGATAATAAAGTCGACGGCGAT